TGCTTGAAGGAAAACCTATGCTGGAACAAGAGTTATTTTTTTCGGAAAAATCTTTGAATAGTTCTGTAATTTGATGTACCATAGTTTGAAAGGGAAGAAAAAAGAAGTAGTTTTCTTCCAATTCTGCTGCATTCTTGTGTGTATACTGGGCATATTTGACTACTGTTTCTTTTTTAATCAATCCTTTCCACCAGTGGCAGGGACAGTTAGAGTTAAAAATTGGAGTCATGTGTAACTTGTTAAACCAAATATTTAACTCTCTTGTCCTATTCAGATGGGAAAGAAAAAGAAGTGGTTTCCATATATGACACAAAGACCTCTGCACTGACACTGGAAAACCTAGCCCTGGGTATTGATGCTGACTGGGAGATTCATATCAACTGAAAGGAAACACAGCTTCTTCAGAGAAGTAATTTGTTGAGAGACTGAGGAGAAACAAACTGGGCAGACTTAAAACCGCATGAATCCAATCAAATCAACAACATATTTCGGGGGTTTTGGTGGGAAATAACATTTCCTAGAATTTTAAAGCACTAATATAAACCTGGGTAGCTCTTTTATTCAGCAAAAATAATAGCACAGGGATTGTGTCTTTGGGGAAATAAGCTAAATACTTAAATAATGCTCCAGGCTAGCTTCAGTCAGGCATTAAGCTTCAGTTCTGCCTTCATTTCCACTGAAAGATCAATGGAGTGAGATTGTGGCTCGTTGGCACGAAACTTTATGCACATATTTGGAAATCCCACCACTCAGGGACTGGAGCACTTGTGAAGAGGAGATCTGGGCCGGTTCAACAAGCAGCATCAGACACAGAGGTTATCATCAGAGCTTGGCCTGCAAGCTGTCTTGTGAAAACAAACCCATGAGGAGCCACTGATTACAGACACTTCCCCTTTCCAGTCCTTATGACACTACAAAATTAGCTGGTCTGTACAGGAAAGTAAACAACAAGCTTGCCAAACAGTTCAGTCACTGGAGGTAAAGTTTGAGTAGGTTGTGCCAGTCAGTTGTGCAATAGTAGAAAACAGTAATGTGGGAGTGCAGAAGGCTCTCCAAGAGCTGGCTTTGAAACTGGTATTTGGATTTCCAAAAGGCACAGGTTCGTGTAAGTGCAGTACTGGCTTAGGATAGCAGCCATGCTTACACAGAAACATTCTCCATGTGTTCTGTATTCCGCATGCTCCCCTCTGTCAGCAAGTGCTACTTTAAAAAAAAAGTCTTTTGTTAGGAAAGAATTGGCATTGATGATTGAATGTCATTGATTAAAGCCAGCCCTGTGAAGCAGCTATGCTTCTCCACACCTTCCAGCTCTTGCCAAGGTTTATCTTCCTTTACACGTTTTAGTAATCTGGCTGAGATTTGAGCCAGACATTTATGAAGCAAATTTTAATTTTAATGGGATTAATTCTGCATTTAGCCATCCCACTTATTCCCCCATTTTGTTACAGCTCAGGCTAGTGTGCCCTTGCCTCTTTTTCCCACAAACTCTGCGAACAGAACTGGTGTGTCCTGATGCATACTTCCCTTGCAAAACTAGGAGGCATCTGGGTCCCCCATCCACCACATCCTGCCTGTTCTGTCAGGCCTTTCCATATCAGGCGTCTCTCTTTGCAGGCTGCCATTGCTCCAGGGTTTAAGTTGTTTGCCCTTGCCATTTGCAATACTGGTCAACTATGTTATTTTAAAACCAGTTCTACTTTGAGTCAAACCTGAACATGCCATCAGTTGGGTTTCTGGATATAAAAAGACATAGTTTACTTAATTGCTTTTAGTAATATAAAGAAGTATGTTCTAAAAACACCAGTAAATTAAGTCATAGGAAACAGAGGAGGATGCTCACCGTTTCCGTAAAGTAAAGATAACCTAATAGTCCCTTTGTACATTGTTCCCTACTCTTCTTACTAAGTCCAGAGAGGACTTAGTCAGTCATTCCCACCTGCTGCTGTTTGTCCTTTGCTGAGCAGATTTCTAGGAATAGCAAGTGTGAGAGCAAACTGTGAATACTCTGCTCTTGACTACTCAGGCACAGTTTGTTCCCCACCAGACTCTTGGTTCCTTCTTTTTTATTCTGCAGAGCTGTTTGTCTGCACCTTCTAGGAGACAGTATAAGCCTCCACTCCAGGAGCTGGTGGCATACATACTGTTGTGCCTAATGCGGATGAATTAATCCAGGTAGAACAGTAGCAAATAGATCTTTTACACCTGTGAAAAGAGAGATGGACTCTATTTTTCTATCAGCTTCTAGGCTTTAATTGATGATTTCTTCTTATGTGTAAGCATAACAGTACTTCTCACAGGATATAATTATTGTCTGGAGCATTTTAATGAAATATTTTAACTGCTATTTCTGAAGATGGAAAATGAAATAAAGTAACAATGGAGTGAGTTATGTGCCTTTTATCTTCCAACCTTCTTTCTACCATTGAGAATCACTACTGAGTATTCTTCCCAGAGTATCTGGTTAAAGTGAATGACAAACTTTTCTACTCTGACCCTCAGTATGACATGTAAACCATAATAAGTACTCATGGGTCAAATTTTCAGTGGTATGAAGTGCCTGACTTCTATGGATTTCAATAGAAATTCATTGCTGAAAATCTGAGCAGTTGTATCTTTAGATCCGAGGAAATACATTTCCAAGAATATGATTTACATTGCTGTTTATAGTAACTCACATACTTTTCCACATATTTACGCCATAAATGAAGCAATAAATTTATAGTATATCTTTACAAATTGAAAACCCAATTCAATTAGTGAGAACAACTGGAGAGAAAACTTCATAAAAATCGAACAGAAATACTAACAGATTAGTTTGCTGCAGATTAGTTCATTTTCGCTCTGTGTGAACAGGTCAGCTATTGGGGTACTTCTGCTTGCAAGAAATTCCACTGCATATGTGGTTTAATTCCTGAGGATTTATTTTGCTGTTTGTAGCAGGTAGCACATCCTTTCTCCTCTGTGGAAAATTGTGTATCCGTAAAGACACCGTTTGTCTTTTAGCAGCAACTACTGTTTCTCACAAAGAATAAAAAAGAACTACGTAATAAAAACATCTGTCCCATAAAAACTAAGAAAAGGAGAAACTGTGTTTTGAACAGGTATAACTCCTGAACATATGTAAAGAACAACATTGGCTTAGAAGTGTGAAGTGTATGTTCACCTGCCATTCCATATGCAGGCACAGACTAAACTGCTAGCTGTGGCAGTATCAGCAGGTCATACCCTGAGTCTTACTGACCTACCCGGTAGGAAAAAAAAACAAAATCCACTGCTATTCAATTGTTTGATCCTCTCCAGCGGCCCACAAGGAGTTTGTCAAATGTCACACCTCTACTACTGACATTCATGCAGAAACAGAGGTCTGTATACAAGATGTAATAGATGGATTGTTATATTGGGCAGGAAGAGAGAATATGAAAGAAAGAACATATGCATAGGCTGCAAAATGAGCACCTTTGCTGACTGTGCAGTGAAAGGCCCTTGCATTGCCCTTGAGATACCCTGCAAAGAGTGACACATGACTTTGCCAATCTGTCCTGCAAAGTAACATCAAGTATGAGATCTGCAATCCTTGCATCTAAATGTAATGAGGACGTTATCAATTCTGCATCTGGACAACCCACCCTGAAGCAATTGCATTCCTATTTTCACAAAGGCTTCAGTCTGTCCTTTCCAGTTGCCCTGTTGGTGCAAGAAGGCTTGTATTCATGATAAAAAGAAAAGTATTTAGGCAACAATTAAAAGACTGGTGATTAATACTGCTTTATTTAATGAGCTGTAGAGATTGTCAATTGTACTGAAATGTGTAAACCAAGTAAATGACTGAGAAAGAAAAATAACGATCAGTGCTTAGGAAAACACCATAGTCATAGGGCAGATGGTCGGTAACATGTACATGAGTGAGAGACGAGTATGCTTAGGCAAAAATAAAACTGATGTCAACATGTAATTGAAGACTTCCCAGTCAAAGAAGAATCAAGGCATTAGAGTGCTTTGCTTGACAACATTGTCAGCTTTTGAAGAACTGAGTTACTGAGCAACATGTTTAGATTTTTCTCTCACAGAGGCTATGAATTTGTCCCTTATCCCACTGCTGTGTGACAAAATAAATATGCAAAGTCAGATGTCTCCTCTAATTTTGACATATTTTAACACACAGCAAATGGTCTAGTTTCCACACTAGGACCCTTATAAACTTTTCTACCCTTACATGAAAAGATGCCTTTTACATGGAAGGTAGCTATCACCAGGTGAATCTTAGTGCTCCTGAGCTGCTATCCAGAGGAACCAAACCCAGGTGGTCGATATAGACTTCAATAGCATCAAATTGCCACCTTATTCACCACCAAAAGATTTATCTATCTTTTCTGCAGGAAAGTGTAGAAACAACAAGTCAAATACAACAGTTCCTTCAGGAGTGTCAGGACTAGATTACTGCCTGGCAGTGCTTCATAAATAATGTTCCCAAACCAGCAGGCATTTAGCTTTCAGTTTCACTGTTCTCTACTTAAGGAAAAGATGAAGTGCTTGCATCAGGAGTCTGCCTACATGTGGAGCCTGTCCCAGGAACATGCCTGGCCTCAGCACAAGTTGCACAGAAGACTGACACCATCTCACTAACCCACTCCCTCTCACTTTCCCTCTCTCGTGCTCTTTGCCTGTAGTTATTTTTAGACTTCAGGGGTTAAAGCTTGTCCCTTCTGGACACTTACACGCATAGAGCAGGCACACACACATGCTGTGGACAGTACAACTCAGATACCGGAGTTAGCCAACAGATTGTCTCACATCAAGGAATAAATTTTGATTTCTTATAACGAAATACTGTCCTTTGACAGGATGCAAAACCACATGGAATTTTCTGGATTGCAAATTTGACTAGAAGACTTTCAACGGATAGAAAAGGCAGTTTACACAGCAACTTCCTCTTTTCTGAAATTTCCTTCCAGTTTGCAAGATCTTTGCTTTCTTTCAACATTTGCTTTCAGCCTGATTCCCATGCCGTCCACCATAAATGCAGCAGTGGCTCAGCAGACAGCTGCTGGGTCAATTCCCAGCCCTACTTTTAGCACGACAACTGAAGGTGCAGGTGGGGGCACAGGTGGGATTTATTCTGCCATTATAAGTCGCAACCAGCACATTATCAGTGTAAAGGAGAAGACCTACGAAGAACTTCACAAGAAGTGCCTGGAGAAAAACATTCTCTATGAAGATCCTGATTTCCCACCAAATGAGTCCTCTCTCTTCTACAGCCAGAAAAGCCCCGTCAAGTTCGAATGGAAAAGACCACGTGTAAGTAACATGTTTGCTGAGTGCCTTTTTCAGTAAATTGAAGTATCCACTCTGACCTTCCATTTTTGCAGAAAGTGTGTGTTGGGGAAGGTGAGCAGAATAAACTGGAAATAACTTTCCTTAGATGTCTCCTGGAAGTTAACTAGGTAGTGCTGTTAAAGCTCAGAGAATGTGTATGTAGTGACTAAAATACAATAAACCACAATGAAACAACAGCACTACCAAAAAAGAGATGAAGTATGTAGAAAGCGAAATAGGGGCTTGAATTTTCCTCTTGCATGGTTTGCTTAGGATTTTCTTGTGTGAAACTACCAAAGAAAAATTCTCATCATTCTGCAGCAAGTTATTTGGTTTGCTGAGGCTTAATTTTGTTAACACTACCTTATTTCACTTAACAACTTTATTTTAGCATTCTGCTGTTTTCCTAATTTATGTAAATAAAAGGAGAGGTTATGGTCTGAAACATGCTTTTATTCAGTTGTTCCCTGCATTGCTTATCCAACTTGCAAAGGCTGGTTAGTATATTACTCACTTATTATGAATGTGGGTGTTCTAATCATTATAAAGACCTATTCCTGCCCAGTAATTCCATTCCTTTTTCCTGTCTTGTGGGCATTTCCCAGCCAGCCTTCCTCTTGTTTTTCCTTCGTTTTTTTTCCCTGTTTTTTTTCACAGTCAGAGGCCTAATTTCTTAATTCCCAATTGTTTCGCTGTCCTACCGTAGAAGGACTTAACACTCTTTGCCTGTCATATCTGCTGGGCAGCTGCTCCCCTCTCAAGGCAGCCCCTGAACACAGCCTCGGCCCCTGCCATTCCCTGTCTGACAGCAAGGGCGTGATTCTGAGGAGCTTCCCCAGCTCCCTCTCTGACAGTTTTTGGCCACCCCTTCTAGATTTGCCATACTTCCCCTAAACCCAAGTCTGTGCTTCAATGGCAAAGTCAGTGGTGGTAGATAAAACTGACCACAGGAACATAACCAAATAACAAAAGACCAGGAGCTCTTGTGAGTGGCTGTTCCAGATGCAGAGGAAGACCACGTGCTGCTGTCACAAAAACTACTTGAGCAATGTGAAGGGACAAAAGGAGTCAGTCCCCTATCTGCTGTGCCCTGTGCATATGTGCCCTGTCATTCCTTCATCATTGCCTCGGCCCCTGGAAATGTGTGTGAGTTAAATGCACCCACAAGTCAGTCATCTCAAAGGGATGGGATTTCCCCTATTTCTACAGAGGGAAGCGATACAACAGTACAGGGGATGAGTGCCAGCACCCTGGAGCAGACAGAGTGCAACTGTGTGTGTCAGAAAGCATCAAAACAGCCAGATGTGTACAACGTAACCTCATACTTGTCTAACAGACCTGAGCATGCACAGATCAAGACTTTGTTATTGGGAAGGTTCAGACATCAGGGTCTTTATCCCAAAGACATTTCTTTAAGTCACTCTTTAACAAGTAAGTTTGGAAGCTCTGCAACAAGCTTGTAACCATGTAAGACCTAAAATACAACCCAAATATCGAAACCAAAGCTATCTGTGTTCTTTTGACACAAGTGTTCAGGCACCTGATGTGTCTGTGGTGCCAGCTGTAGGTAGACCAGAGGCTGGAAATCCAGACAACTGCAGTCTGTGCCTGCTGCCTACTGGCATGCTCTGGGATTTTGGATGGTCCTGACCCTGACAGAGATGGCTGTCCCTGCTGGGGACACACCAGGCCTGATTTGTAGAGGTGTCTGTGCCTTCTACAGAAAATGTGTTTGTTTTAAAACAAGCCCTGTAATTCAGGCCACTGCTGTATCCAGCAGGTGCCCAAAGAGGACAAACTTCCTTGTAAAACTTTCTCCTTTTATGATATGTCCCCTACCTTGTCATTCACACCACAGCCACAAAATGAGACTGCTCTTGGGTGCTGATGCAAAAGACCTGTATCTATTGGTGCTGATTTCTGATTGACCCAGGACTTTGTTTTACTGGACTTTGAAACTAGAGGTAATATAGCACTGGTAGGAGGACTTGTCTGAAAATATTATAGATACATGAATAGCCACAATAGACATGTTAACAGCACACCATAAAATCAAATGAATATGAAGCAATAATACTGGGCTAAGGAATATTTTGCTAAGAGATTAAAGCAATTGTTGAAGCACCAAATGTAAAGACTCAATTGCACAGGCCATGTTTTATAACAGCCTGTAAAGATCTGGACGACTTCAGTTCTTATTAAATTGCAAGGGCTTTTTCTTTTCCCAAAGTAGAAACTAGCTTATAAACTACTAAGTGGTAACTATAAAGTCTTATGAAATGGTAATTTTTAATCACTTGGAAATTCAGGTCAAACTTGATAATGTATTCTAAAAGAAAACAAAATATCAAACTGTTCAGAAGTCCTGAGAGAATATCCTAATACTGACTTCACTCTAGGTCCTTTCCCTGTGGCATTGTATATGCCACATATCTCCAGAAATAGCAAATAAACAAATTATCTCGCTTAAAACAGAGAGCTAGGAAATGGCAACCTCTTCATGACTGCCTTTGGCTTCCTCAGTCACATTAATCATGTCACCTCATCAGTTTGTATCAAAGCTCTCCACACCAGGCAAGATGTATGAGAATATAATACACGTGAAAGATTAATGCTGGCCTGAAAAGAGCACTATTTGCAATGACATGAGTCCACCTGGGATTGTTGGGTGCAAATTTTGTCAGAAGCTCCAAGTATTATTTGAGGAATGATGAAGTTAATGTAAAGTGCACACATTTGCCTGTTACCAGTGCTATAGCCAAGCACTGATGACGGTGCTGTTCCTCAGCTGAACAGCACTTCTTCACTGTAGATCTCTTATGTCACTGTGCTGACATATGGAAAGGCTTTGACACCTGGAATTAACAAGGGCCCCACAGCGAGTCAGCCACATGGATGACTCTTCCCTGATCCCTGGCTCTGTGTTGAGGTGCCCACTGTGTCCAGCGTGAGCAACTCTCCCTCCCATGTGTGGGCTGCCAGGACCTGGGCTCTTTCTGCTTCCTCCAACAATGGCTATGCTGTGACTTGACCTTTTCCTCGGGGCTCCTACAACTCATTACTAGGGTGGCAAGAGGTGACCAGCATCCCAGCCCCAGAGCTACCCCTTGTTCTTATGTGTCTGGTCCTACAGACCATTCTTTTTGTAGCCAGTTACATCCAGAGGCCAGGTCCTCCTCTGCCACCTCCCAAAATTCTTGGCCTCTGCTGCTGCAAGGGCAGTGAGTGCACAGGGACTGGTCTTGTCCCTTACTGATAGAAGGACAGATGCCATGCAGGGCATCTGTGATTCCTGGCATGAGGGTGGTGAGAAGGCCTCTGTAACTTGACTAGTGACTGCCATGCCATGCCATGAATGCACAGAGCAGACCTTACAACTCAATTCAGGCAAGAGCCAAGTGACAGGTTTGAAAATTTCCCTGAGTAAAGACTCAAAGACTAATCCCTCCAGCTCAGAGTATGAATGAACATGATTGAGGTACACAGAGGGGAAATAAAATCTGCCTCAGTTGATGCATAATATTAAGTCATTTTCTCACCCGTGGCAGGTAGGAGAAGCCTAAAGAACCATTCTCACCTGTACCAGGTCATATCCAGCTCAGTGACAGGCTGTGTTCAGTCTTCTTAACATCCTCAGCCTAACTATGCTGCCTGTGTGAATTTCTCACAGCTGAGAGGAGGGAGGAGTTCACCAGTCTTTGAGAACTGAGACAAGGTCTGTATTATGACAATGCAGAGTATTGAGAGGTCCTGCTGCAGTCCTGTTTGGACCTGATAATACTGGGTCATTGACAGGAATGCTCTGCTGTCACACTGTGCTTTCAAATGCACCATTGTCAGTCTCCTTGCTTACAGCCAGGCCACAGCATTAGCCCCCAGATTCAATGTCTGCCCTATGATGATCCTCCCTCTAGCCAAGAAAATCAGCAGGAGGAGTTTTCTTTTCATATTGAATACAAATAAATTCAAGTCAACAGATTACTGGATTTTGCTTAGAATAAAAATGAATCAGTCAGATCATCTACTGCACAGATGTGAAGCTGTTTGAATTTAATAATCACAAAATATGGGCCTGTGGAGGTAGTACCACAAAGCAAAGACAGCATTTCGTGCCACCAAGACAGGGCTTTCAGATGAGGGTAATCTAACTCTGAAGCTCTAAAACCAGCTTGGGATCTGACAGCACTGAACTCTGCCTTGAAGTGTGCAGCACAGCCATTTCATAGCATGATCTAGATTATGAGAGGTCAAGGGAGAAGCATGAGGCTACATCTTAGGCTGGCCAAAGAAGATGCTTCCTCTATTTGATAGGATCAGTTCAGGGACTCAACTGACTCACAGCTTTTTTTCCTGACTCAGAAGAAAAGCTAACGAAAATATAACAAAGGTCAAATACCATTTTTAGTTGCATGCTGCCTTTACATTTTCCAGAACTCCCTTCCAACTATCTCGTAAGAACACTCTGCCCAGAAAGCAACATGCACCACTAATGTTTTATTTTCCTAGGATTCTCTGTTCTTCTTACTGTATCTTTTGACTCTTAGTAATGAAATTACAGTCTAAAATGAATCAATCCAGTGAACACAAAGGTCCTTTGGATAGTACCAAGGCAGTTGGAGGCACTCAGGTCAGAGGAGACTCTTTTAGATGAATCATTGAATCAGTGAAGTACAGCCTACTGGGATTCTCTGTGATAACTTGACCTAAGAGATGAAGGACAACCCCTTGCTCAGCCAGGAAGACTGGAAGGACAGACTTGCCACCTGCATCTTGGACACCAGGCTGTCTTGCTCTGCTGACTGTGTACTTCAGTCTTGGAAGACCTTGAAACCTTTCCTGCAACTTCAGCTGTACTCAGGACAAATAGCACAGCTGGAGATGAACTAGAGAAATTCAATATTAAAATCATATCCACAGCACACTAAACACAGCTGGCCTCCATAAAGAAATGCAAGAAAAGCATTTCTGTCATAGCTAAGTCAGTCCATATGACAATTGCATGATTCCCTCCTTTGCATTCCTTTACCAACCACCTTCCAAAATAAATGAGCCCAAAATTCAATAAATGGCTCTGAGAAACAACCATCATTGTACAGTTAATATTTGGAAACACTCAAGCACCATCTAACACCCTTCATCTAAAATGCAGCATGCTGGATTTCAGAGCTTGTTACAATAGAAGCAGGATCAAGCCAAAATACAATAATGGGAAAAAATGCACACCAAAAACCTGGCATCTCACAGATAGTTTTCAGCAGAGCACCACAGCAACATGAGGAATAATATTTTCAACAAAGCAAGTGAGAGGAGAAAAGCATGAAGGCATCTCAAACAGCTGCCTTGACAGAACTGAATTCCAGGACAGCTGACCAAGGCCCAAAATAACAGGACAATCCCTACATTCACTCCCTCAAGGAGAATAAAGTGACTGCAGGGGAAGATGAGGGGGTGGAATTATGTCTCTCTATCTGGCCATATGACCACTCCAAATACTTACATCCAAGCAATTCTGCTGATTCCTGTGAAGGATAAAAAAAGGGGGCTCAAGCCAAATGAAACTACTAGACCTGAAACATGAGTCTGGGAAAATCCAGGGCTACCCTGATAACATGGGGGAAAAGCTTTAGACTGCAGAGATAGTGTCAGCTGCCTGTGCTGCCACACAAGAAATTATCAGTTGTTTCTTCTTTCTCCTTCTCACTCCAGCCCTGACATCTCTCAGCAGATTGGATTCTTGGACTATGCTTTATCTTCTTCCCCATTTGCAGCTGCTCAGGGCAGTGGTGCTCAGGTTGCAATATCTTTCTTTCCTTACCCTCATAAGAGAAGGGTCCAAAAGTTGTGTCTTCTTATCCTTCCTCATAGCAAGTATTTGATTATGAGAAATAGGATAAGGCAGGGATTATTTTTTTTTCTGTAGGACAGGTAATACCTACTTCTTCCCTTGCTTTTTCTATACCCAGTGGTTTTTTGTCCTTTACAGAAAAGGGCTGTGTAACCTTGCAATAATCCCACCTCCTCTGCTGATAGTTTTCATGTAGTCCTTCCTTCCCTTCAGAAATTTCTTAATTATTTATGCCTGTACAGTATCTTATGCCCATTCTGTACTAGTATAAATACTAACAAACCCCATAAATGGTGCAGAACAAAAGACCTTCCTGTTCTCAGAGAGAGACCATATCTGTACCCATTTTTGAATGCAGCATTGGCAATTAAATACTGCAATATTAGGAAAAGAATAAAACCACTTAACCAGCGATTGATTATTTCTGGTAATTTAACATCTGATTGCAGGAAAAATTTTAAGGAGGAGTACTACCAGGATTCATTTGCAATGAAATGCATTCTTCAACCCTTTTAATGTCCCAGCGTATTAGTTACTGCAAATTGGACACCATAAACCTGCAGCCATTTTTAAAAAAAATTATCTGGTCCCCTGATGTTTTTTTCACCTACTAGCTCCCCTATCTCCACCAGAAATTTGTTTTTTTTCTTTATTGTGTAGAAAAAATATTTTTCTCTATTCTTCTCATTTTAATGTGTTTGTAGGCTGTACAGTGAACCCCCCAGGCTTGCTGTTAAACCATGTGTAGATACATGGAGAAAACTCTGACTGAAGTCTGAAACATCCAAATTCCAAAACATTTTCTTAGTGAAAGTCTGCAGGTGAAAACCATGTGAGAGGTTTTTATATCCACAAGATATCCTGCACGAAACATTGTCCTAAAACTGCCTTTACCTCTGTGACAAGCAGGCACCATAATGCATGCTTTTCCTGCTCATCCATCTCTTTCTATTTTGCAGGACATCTGTGAGAATCCACGGTTTATTATTGGTGGGGCCAACAGAACAGATATCTGCCAAGGAGAATTAGGTATGAAATTGTTAGTTCAACTCAGTACTTTTTAAAGTCTGCCTCATAATTTAGGTCTCACTTAATTTTCTCTTGTTTCCAAGGTGGTGTCTGAAATCCTCTGTCTCAGTGCACCACTACACATCTACTGATTCCTTCTGTCTATAGCTAGTCGTTGATATCCACTTAGTTGCAATCTAGGCAAGAACTTTGCAAGGTGCTTTGTATTCATGAACTAATGTCCTGAGTGTGTTGCAAAACACCACTGGGCCCTTCTTTCAGACTTTGAGGATGGATAAAAATAGTTAAGACAAGAATAAAAGATAAATAGGAGTTATTTGACTGAAAGAAAAATCTGATCTGCTACTGTTGCACCTTTTCAGGTATTTAGTCCTGTTATTTCTGTATAGGACCTTCTAAAGCTCTCCAGCTAAGTCTACCTTGTACTCAAGAACAGCTCTTATATCCCTTATACAACAAGACCTTGAGTTTAGATGCTCAGAGATACTTTGTTATATAGATGCACTACTTAGGTACAAGTGATGCCTTTGCAGCAGTTGTCAACATGGTGCTGTCCTGCACTGCTTTGTAAAGTCATTCGCCACTCAACTTTCCCATGTCTTTCATGGGTTTATAACTCCTCCTGTGATCATTTTCCTAAGCTAACACACACTAATTTGTGTTAATCTTTTCAAGTGTTGTTCTGTGCTTGTGACTGTCCTCATCACTTTCCTAGTACTTTAACTTTACATATATGTATTTCTGTATGTTTTATCCCTCTACCAGTTTCATAAATTTCTTGTACAACTCCCTGCAGTCAGGTTTAGTTTACACTCTCATAACATTCTCTCACTCCACTATTTCACACTGCTCAGGCAAGCTTACCCTACAGTAGCAATTAGGTTTTAGTTAGGGGTTGAGGCACCCTTTGCTAAACACAGAAGCACTATGGGAGAGAGCCACTTTCCCAGAGCTCCCACCATACACGTCTGAAGGAGGAACTGAAAAGCACCAAAGGGGACAGTGTTCACAACAGTGCAGACACAGATTCAAAAAGAAGAAAATATGTCAGAGCAATGAAAAGAGCAGGAAAGAGGCCCTGCAGAACAACGATTGGGACTGTGAGTTACCTTGAGAGCAGAAAATGAGTCTCAGCCTCAGCTATAGGGAGCTTCATGTGTGAGTTCTCTCCCAGCTGGTCTCTGTCCAAAGCTTGGAAGGAGAATTAATGTGGGAAGTCAGACAGGCATTCACTTGGGACAGGGAAATCTTAACACAGGTAACAGTGCTCATCAGGTTTTAGTCTTTCTGTAAATTACAGGGCACATCATGTGTCTAACAGGCATATACCCAGTGACGAGCTGTGCCAATGAGCATTTCCAGAGCACAAATAGATAGAGTGCTAAAGTACTGCAGAACACAGGGACAAATGTCCTCTCCTGAAAGAGGGGTTAATTCTCAAGCTCTGTGGAGAATTAACATGTCACTTTGCAGTATTTCAGGTTTTCTGTTTGACCCCAGCTGTTCTGTCCCTTCTTTTTTTCTGCTGCTTCTCTTTGTTTACAGGTAACTGCTGGTTTCTGGCTGCCATTGCTTGCCTGACGCTGAATAAAAAACTACTCTGTAGAGTCATACCTCACGACCAGTCCTTTATACAAAACTATGCTGGCATCTTTCACTTCCAGGTGAGTCCCTCCATCTAGTGAGAAGCAGGTGTATTTACCCCAAACAAAACTTGGCTCTTGGCACTCTCTTCACTCTAACTTCTCCCCCCTAATTTCTCCCCCTTTGGAAACATGAACAACAGCAGGGAGGAAAAGCCATATAATTGCCTCATCCCAAACTCGTCCATCAGGGCAGTCACAGAAGGGCCAGCCCATAAAAGCAATTAGGGAGAATTAATCCACCAAGGAAGCATTTGGAGATTGCTGTGTCGTGTGCATAAGGAATAGCAACAGGTGCCTGGTCCTGCCTCACTGCTCAGATGTAGCACTACAGCCAGCACAGACATGAAAGTAGTAGGCAAGAGCACCTATTTTTAGACCCACGAACAGCTGGTCAGTCAAAAACAAGCTGTCAAAGAACTGCTTAAGAACTTCTTACTCAGAAAAGATTCACTGTTTTCCACATTTCCCTTGGCTTTCCTAAGGGACCTCTCACTGTCCCACACACATTGCTCAGGGGAATTCAGTACAGCTGCCTCCTTCCCAGTGGCCATCAGCTTTTGCCACATTACAAGGCCATGTTACAAAGCAGTACAGTCAGGCTCCCCCTCCTTGCACCAAATCAATCCAGGGTTTTTCTGTTTGCCTTTATTCAGTTCTGGCGCTATGGAGCCTGGGTGGACGTTGTCATCGATGACTGCTTACCCACGTACAACAACCAGCTGGTCTTTACCAAGTCCTCCCAGCGCAACGAGTTCTGGAGTGCCCTCCTGGAAAAGGCCTATGCAAAGTAAAACAAGCTGAGGGACAGTGCTGGGCTCCCCACTGATGGCTGGGGAGGTGGTTGAACCACTGCATACAGGATTTACAGCAAGCGTGTAGAGAGGCTCTGAACATCACAATGCCTTTTACCATAGATTCTCATGCCTCAGAACTGGGGATGGGCTAAAGCATATTTTCCAGGAAGTTTTGCTACTCATTCAGAGGTCTGCATTAGATTTTCAGCATCTTTTTTCCTCTATGCTTGCAGGTGGCATGTTTTAAAACTTTTAGCTAGCAAGTTACCAAACAGATGGTTCATGGGGTTTTTAGTATGTGTGTTTACATAGTTGTAGTTATTCATAC